AAAAAAAAGAGAGAGTAAAGAAAATAATTTGCAGGTTAATCCATCCATAATGAAAATAATCATTTGCTGAAGCGCTACATTTGTTGTGTTTAATTACAGTGAGACGAGTTTAGGACACTGGGCTGTTGGCTGATTGGATGGTCGAACGTCCAGTTAGATGTCAGCGGTTGTTTTAGCTATTACATTTAGGTCAGTAAGAGATTCAATATCTCTGTATGACTGTAATTCAATAAATGAGGTTTATTGTCCAACCCTCACTCTCTGTGAACTTATTAAAAGTACTGTATTATGTTCCATATGTTCTTTATGGTCCTCTTGCTCCCATGCTGCTCCCATGTTGCACCGCCTGTAGCTGCCTTCACAATTACAATTTCCACCTTAAACAGAATCCACACGCTTTATCCCTGTAATACAACACCATTCAGTCTGGATTTGGGAACGCAAAATCCCACCCTTGATCTTGTTGTGGGTCTTTGGAGGGGGAAACACTGAAACTGGAGAAACAGGGAGGAGAGGAGGAGGGATGAAGGGGGCCGTGGAGGCGGGGGAGTGGGAGTGGGAGGAGAGCAAGGGGGGGTTAGGAATACATGAGAAGGGGGGAGGGTTTGATAAACATTGTGTTGCTTTGTTAGGGTTAGTGGGTCATAAATTCCAAGGAAAGGGAGGGAGATGGAGTGGAAGAAGGGGTAAGAGGTAAAATAACCGTTAGGAGAAACGAAGGAAGGGAGAGGAGAGGACGGTTTGTTTGACTGCGCTGACTGATTCCACTCGACTCCACCAGACACGGTGGAGTCTGCACAGTATCAACGTCGCCGGGGAGTGCGTGCGCGTCTACGTGAAAAATCTAATCCCTTCACAATCTCAAGGTCTACGTCCAACATGAAAACCTCGCGTGTCCTATTTTGGTGTTTTTCTTGGTTCACATGTTGCCGTACAGCTGTGAGTCCTTCCAGTGGAAAGGTGGAAACACTATTTGCACTGTATAAGAAAACTTTGCAGTGCTCTAACCGGTGCGGCAGAACTCACGGTCAGTGTTTCCCACAAGCATTTATTCAGTGCTGCTCAATTAAAAACAGAAGAGGAGAGATACGGCCTCAGTAGGCGTCTTCACCCTGTAATTTATTGAAACCGTGGAAAAACGTTTGTTTGGTTCCGTGAATGCATGGACATAAATCTGAACGGCTGAATGTTTTAGAGGTATAAAGTCGGCCCCTCTGTTATTTGAAGCTGTTGGTGGCGGTGCGTATTTTAATTTTGATGTAAGCCAGTAACACGCTGTGATGTTTCCCCATCGTTTGTGACCTCTCTTTAATCCCCGGGGAGTATGCGTTTCAGTTGTAACGGCCGATTCAAGAGTAATACCGTTTTGTAAGGCTTTCATTACATTAAATGAAATTCCTGTCTAGAACGAGGACGGAACATTTGACACCCAATCTTTTCCATTAAAATCATGTTAGTAGGAAAGGGGATCTCTTCACAGCTAGTGCAGGAGGAACAACTGCAGCCACTCTTTGACACTTTCAGTGTACATATGGGCGTGTCTATTGTTTTAAGACCAAACTCTCTTTTTTAACAATGAATCGTTCCCTCTATAGAATATCAGCTGTGAAAATGTCCACCACTGTTTCTCATCGTAAAAGTTCATGTCTTCAGACTGCTTGTTGCTTGTGCCACCAACAGTCCAAAACCCAAAGATATTACATTTCCAATGACATGAAACAGAAAGAAAACCTCCAAATCTTCACATTTGGGAAAGTGGAACCAGCAAATGTTTGACATTTTGAGTTGATCATTAACTTAAACAACTATTTTACTATACTACAGTTTTTGTCCACAGGGGCCACCAGAATCAACTAAAAGTCCCTTGTGGCTCAGCCGTCTGTAAACTATATTTAATGCCGAATTAAATATCGCACACATCAAATGATCGATCCTCGTATATTAACCTGCTTACTAACTTACCAGCTAAATTTCCTCATATTTTATTCATACACCGTGTTGTTCAGGAATCGGGGCTGAGGAGGACCAACCAGAGCGCTGACGGACAGATGTTCAACATTTAAATGTCTGTCTCCCACACGCCCACATACAGCCTGGCCTGTCTGTTCGAGTGATTGACTGTAGGTGCGTATACGTGCGCGCAGTTGCTGTCAGGCTGACCATGTGTCTGCAGTCATGTAGTCATTCGCAGACAGTGGGGACACACACACGGGCTGGCAGGCAGACAGACAGACCAAATGACAGATTAGGATGGTGGACAGACAGATAAAAAGAAAAAAAAAAAACTGTGTAACATCATTTAGAGGAAAAAGATAGCTCTGGAATATCTGCTAGAAGATTTAAATCTCTGCTTACACAGACAGACAGAGCACCAGCATCGCGGTGATGTGAAGATACATGGTCGGGGATGGAGATGATAATCTTAATGGACTGGTCATCTGTCTGTGAGCTCCTGATTCTCACACACACACACACAGGAGGGTTTATATATCTCGAAAGCTTTCTACTGCTTTCTACTGAAATCAGCTTAAAGAGCAGAGAAAAAGGTTGTTGGAAATGACTGTGAGACCAGTAAAAATAGTGTCAGGAGATACGTAGTGTAGCTGTATGGCTGAAAGTGAATGCAGCAGAATGACCTCTGGGATTTTATCATCAGACTACACACAGAGATCAGGAATGAGACTTGTTATGGTATACTGCACAGAGATGGCTTATGGCTACTTTGTGTGTGTGTGTGTGCGGTGCAGCTTCATGACAGATGTCTTCTTAACTGGACTAATGGAAAGCACTTCAGCCACTGCCTATAGCTACACATGGAGGCACAAAAAGGTCCTTTGGCCATGTGTATAAATCCAGTCCACCTGAAGGAACATGACGATGTTTCATACACATACACAGTATACACACACACACATACATGCTTTCTTGCCCTTCAAACAAAACTGTTGCCTAAATTTAAGTAAAAAAAACGTAGTGTCTTTTTATGGACAGTTTGTTTCCGTCTTGGACTTATTCTGATGTGTCTTTTAAGATACGCTCTTATCTTCATTTGTCTAAAGTGTCCCTTGTAGAGCTTTGAGGGTGACAAAAATAGCCCTAGCACGGACAGTCAAAGGCACAAGCCCCAAAAAAGTCATACCTCCAATGATCTTCCCATTACAATGTTCCTTTTAAAGATCATTTTTAGCCAATTTGTCTTTGATAGGTAGTTGAAAGCAGTGATAGACAAGAGAGGGTGAGAAAAAAAGGAGTGTGAGGTTGTGGCATCGGTCACGGGATGATGGGTTACACTTTAGCCAACTGAGTCACCAGAATTCCCCCGACGTCGTGTCTTTGCCGTCAGTGGTTTGGCTTGACCACAGTATCATGAAGCATTTGTTTAACATGTGGGACAATGGCAGGGTTGGGTTACAGTGACAACAGGGAAAGTGGAGATTTACTGCCCCGAGGTCCACACTTGGATCAGACGCGCGATGAGCTCGTCACTTTAGGCTCACTGGATGAAACCTTCTCAGCCTCTGAAACCTTATTGCGTAGGACTGTGAACAGAATGATTGGTTATTGCTTAATACTAGTAAAAAACATGTATTTGATGTTTTTGAACCGATCCTTTCAAATCCTACACGTTTATTAATTTCTACCTCATTTACAAACTACAGACGCTCACGGCGCAATAAAAGTTGCAGCAGTTACAAACACATCCTGTCTCAGGGACTGATTGAGTGTAATCTACAGAGATTAGTGAGAGCTCATGTAGAACCTGCCAAAAGCATTTTCAACAACCTGTCCTGCTTAATATGAACTGACAGTATGTCTGCCTCACTGGGCTTTCATTAGGTCTCTTTTATTATTGTATTAAATCATTTGTGTTTTGGAGCATAGCACTCCGAATCCTATGGTTGACTCCCACACACACATAAAAAAAAAAGTAAAAAAATAATAATTAAAAGCTTCTTTTTTTCAGTTTTGAGGATTAACCAGAAGCTTTTTTTTATTGTCTTTGATTTTTGCAAATACAAATATAAACATCCTACTTGCTTTGATTTTGTCACACACAGCCTGGTGGGATACCAAACTCTACAGTTACACAGTGATCACTCAGTAAGTCTCTGCGGTGTATTCTTTTTTTACTAACTTGTCACTTTCACAACAAAAAAACAACTCCCTCATTAACATCCATCTGCTGTGAGTGTTTGTGTGAGAAGGCGAGGACAGACAGAGGGGGAAGGAAAGATAGAGAATATGTGTGAGACGGAGTGAGAGGGTGTGTGGACGCTAAAGTGGACGGATATGAGAAGAGAAGAAGGGGTGTGGTCGGCCGCTGCTGGAACAAAGTTCCTCAGAACTCCTTTATTAAAGACCAGGCTCGGCTGAACAAACGGCACCTGGAAACTTCAAACCTACTGACAGCTGTCTAACTACTCAAAGACAGACAGAGACAGACAGAGACAGGAGGGGAGACATGCAGACAAATGGCAAATAGATTAACTGACAGCCAGGTTGGGAGGGACAAAAGAACGAGAGCGCTTTTTAATAAAATACTTCATCAATTCAGTTTGTCGTTGAAGAAATGCTTTGCATCAAAACAGCGGTGGACCTGGCCTCAAAGTGCTAGGAATCACTGAAACTTTTTCAGCATTGAACCCAACCATTCAAATATCACACAATATCACGGCATACTGTACTTTAATACTGGCTTAATACAGTGAAGGCACTATTCCAAAAAACACTGTACTAGTGTGTCATGGTGAAAGTGCACAAACATATATAAATGAGCAGTGAGTCCAAATGGGATGTTAGTAAAGACACAACAGCTCGAAGATGGGATGACAAAACTGTTACTTAAACATTGAAAAAAGGGGGGGGGGGGCTTTAAGTGACAGTTAAGGTGAGGACTACGGGCTAATGGTGACGACACTAGAGACTGTGACAGAGACGGCGGCGGCGATGATGACCACGACAGATGAAGCTCAGCTCTTGGCCGGCCACTTGTAACTCACCCTTCTCAGCGCGCCCCATGTGAGCTGGGTCCAACCGAAGCAAAGCAGAAAATCATAAGACAGAATTAGATTGGAGAGCATGCACAGGCGTACAGTCACATCTAACAGACAAGCTGTGGATTCATAACATAAGTGGAGTCTGTTCTCACGCAAACAGATGCCCAACCTCTACCCTCTGCTTCACCTCACCCCAGTGTTAACCCTAAAAATAATCATTAGCCTAAGACTGGCGTCACCTGCCACCACATCTCTCAATCTCTCTCTCCCTCACACACACTCACACACACACACCAGCCATGTATATATATATATAATGGAGTATCACCACACACTAGACTACACAACGGGTGCTGAGGCTGCTCACATCTGTGTCTGTGTGGGAAAGAGAGAGTGTGTATGTGCACTGTAATGTAATTAATCAGTGGAGAGTGTTGATTACTTAATCTGTCATTAGCCAGGCATGTGTGTAAGTGTGTGTGTGTGTGTGTGAGTGTATGCGTGTGTGTGCGAGGCAGCGGGGTGTTTCAAGGCCCTCTTGTAGCGACAGCTGTGACCAGAGCCGAACGGGGCAGAGCAGAGATTGATGACACCGGACTAATACCATCATTCATCAGGGATGTGATATTTCAGGGATTTGGGATTTGTTTTTGGACGTGCTGCCTCCCTTCATTTCCACTGGGACTTGAACGCTTTCTTGGTTCACTTCCTGCCTCATGACTGATGATTTACACCCATCATGTAGCAGAATCTAAAGGTTAATCCTGACCATGACATTGGGGATATTTCCATCTGCCTGTTTTATGCAAATGTTTAAATTTGTGCGTGAAATTTTCCTGAGTGGAAAATGTTGAAATATTGTGTACCAGCTTGCCTGAGGTGAAAACATTGCGATGGCTGCTGACGGTAATAGATTATTCGTATACACCTTGATGCTGCAGGTCCTCACACTTAACAGAAAGCACACCTGGGCAAACCTACACCCAGCGGGCTGCTTGTGTCTATATGTACAGTCCTTGGTCTTCTGGTGTGTTTTTTTTTTTAAATGACGAATGCAGACTACCGCCACCTGCTGGTATGGAGAGTTGTTAACCTCTCGCGCAGGCACATTACGTACATTGGCTGTAGTCGGTGCGTCACTTGGTGAAAATGCTTACCCCACTTACAACATGTAAAACATCAATTCCTTCCAGTGGAAGAGCGGGAACTAGTAAAAGTGTGCCATTTTTGCCTGCGAAATGATTTATACAATTAATTGATTGCAAAAATGATAACAGATTCATTTTCTGTTGATCGACTAATTGTTTATGGTCTATTACAGACAAAATGATTCATTGAGAAAATAACTGTCAGGTAAGCGATAATGGAAATATAATCGTTAGTTAATCTTAGTTGGGAAGCAGCAATGATGTGTGTCAGGTGCTTGATTAATAATGGAATCATCACAGAGATACTCAATCATGTTTTATTTTGCCAAAATCTCAAGAATTGGCTTGAAACATTTTATTGGAAACTTTTCTTTTGGCTAGCAGGCCTCCTGTTCTGGTATATAGCGTTTCCTTACAGCATGGCATATGGAAACCTTTCACTCTTAACTCTTAACGCTTTGAGTCAATAATCCATTTTTCAACACAAACCCTCAAATTCATTCATACACACGGTCTAATGAGGGATTAGCTAATGAATTCTCTCAACAGATTAATTACATTTTACACACATGCTCGTGTGTGCGCAGGCTTCATCCCTAAACGACGGAAGAAATGAGCCAGTACTTTCAAAGAGATGGCTCTTTTAAATGTATCACTAAATTGAAATCCGTAGTAACAGATTGGCTCTGAGCAAAGTGGTGTTTGATTTGAAGAGAAGACATTTAGATAGATCTGAAGGACAGCGGACTGAAGCATTACTTTTAACCAGAAAACAAATAAAACCGCCTTTGATTTGGCGCCATTTTACATGGCATGAGTAGAACGCGAAGGCATTTTCCCATTAATCTAAATGAGAGGCAAACATTTCACATGCTCATCTTTGTACCACTGTACTCCGGAGGGCTTAAAAGCATCGGCCTCCCTCCTCCTCTTTAAGTGACAGCAACACACACGAGTTGACACATATTTGCTCCACACACACACACACACACACACACACACAGGACATGACAGAGAAACACACACACACAGGCAGACACACTCGCAACACACACTCCCTCCTGCCGTTTTCACAGTCTCTTGAGTGGAGGAGATGCCCACGGCCAAAAACCATTGGTTGCGTTTCTTGTTTTCCTCCCCTCCTCCTCTGCTCATTGTCACACTATCACTCTCTTCCTCTTGCCTTTCTCCGGGAAAAAACGCACAATTTTTATTTCATCTTGCTGAAAAGTAATTATAATTAAACCAACTTGGTTCTAATGTGCAAAATACTGAAATAATTTACAATTATAATTAAAGCAGCTCAGATGTGGCGTTCAGTAGCAGCGGCGGCCTTCTAATTCGTCTGGAGACACTAATGGAAAACAATTATTTCACTTCATTAAGATTAAAGACGCCTGGAATCTGTGTCACAGTTCGATCAGAGAGGAGACAGATTTAGAAAGTTGTCAAATTAACATAAACTCAGTTACTGACTTCGTAAAAGCAGCGAGACACACACACACACACACGTTCACATTTATTACCCTGACTTTGTAAGTGATAGGCCAAAACAAAACTGCTGCAAAACAGCGTGAGAAGAAGAGATAAAAGAGAGGCGGATTTATATAAATGCCATAATTTATAGTTTTGACTTTCAAAATGGGAAACTGGAAGATAAAGAAGGAGACGAGACAGATTTAGAACAAAAGGATGTCTTAACACAAACTCAAAGTGACTTTGTTCAAATATGATGGACAATTTGAAATCCTCGCCGCTGATTTTTCTCGCCCTTGTCGCTGATTTTCAGCAAGCAGCGGCTACTGATGCTGCACCACAACACACACCCCTCCTGTGATTCCCTTCATTATTGAGCTCTGATTTAATAATCACCACTTTGTCTCAGCGACGGTCCACACTGGCTGCATTAATGATCCACCTATCAACCCTATCGGCCTCACCGATGAGACGTTTCACTGTGACTGTGCTGGTCTGCACTTTCTTTGCACCGAATGCAAGTTCCTGTCGCCCTGGTGTGATGAACGACACGTTTCCTTCTTAAACGCAGCTCATTCTTCATCAAGTATTCACACTGTGTACAGAAAAGGGCATGGCAATTATGTATTCCTGGAAATTGGGTGCTTCCATTGCCGTTAAAGCCCCCTTTTCCCTGTATCTGATTTCCTAATCACTGTTACCGTTGCTTGCTTTTATTCAAAATATGCTTCTTTTTTTATTTATTCTGCAGCACCATCAACTTCAAGTTCTCTTTTTCAACCCCCCTAGGACCACGGCCCCCCTCCCACTCTCTGTGAAGTAGCATCTAGTCGCTAGTATTTACTTGCAAATTAACAGCACTCAGATTCCCAAAGAGGCCTCAAAGAAATTCCACACATTTGTTACCCGGAGGGCCAAATGGCCTCAAGGGAGGGGAAGGGGGGGATATGCTGCGATAAGGAAGTGCGAAGGGGGCAAGAAAAAGCTCACAGATTAAGGTAAATGTAAGTTGCGTTCATGCTATCATGTAGCAGGCCCGCGCGAATGCGAGCAGAAAAGGTAGCGGTTTATGCGTTTGGGTTATTTTCCAGCACGTCATGGAGCGTGCGCAGTCCTTTACAGATTACCGTATGGGATTGAATTCAGGAGGTCAGATGCTCACACTGTTAGTAACTCCCGATCATCTCGGGAGTTCAGAGACACAAACATGACGAATGCGAAATAAAAACGCACAGATCCACGCAAACAGAGAGGGAGGAGAGAGAAGAGAGAGAAGAGAGAAAGTAGCCTCGCGGAGACCGAGAGCTGCAAAATATATTAGCACATGAATTGTTTCTCCGCGTCGAGCAGGCATCCCTTGCACCAAACAACAGCACATAGAATACTGCCTTTCACAACAGTCATTCATTTCACACACACACACACAGACGTGTTTCTGCAGACTACACGGACGACACTTTGCGAGAACGGGTGACTCTTTAAAACTGGAGCAACCTGAAGTCCAGCCCAGGGTAAAAGGGTTTTCCACGCATCTGTAGCAAAAAGAGGACGAGTTTAATGTCACGGTCGTCTCATTATCTAAACAACGCTCGCGCACACGGTTGCACGCAGTTTAACTGAAACCTTGCAGATTAACACCACGCCGCAAATCTCCACAGATTCACAGCTTGTTGTATAAAAAAAAATAAAAAATGAAACCGGAGTCTTAAGAGAGAAAACAAAAAGTAGCTGGTTGACTTCATCCTTCCTCTCTTTTCCAAGTTAAATCGCGCGGTGCGAGAACAATATTCACTTTATCTACCAGGCGTATCGACGTACAGGCTACACATCCCCAGCCGTGAGGGGCTTCTCTGCGTGCAGCGCGAATAAAAGTTGGAGCAGAAGAGGATCCTTGGGTTCGCAGAGAGCTGGGAAAGCTCACGGCGCCTGCGGACCGGATCGACCGTCCATAGCTGCGCACAGCAGAGCCACACTCCACTTTTAAAGACTTGAAAACACAGCGCAGGCTACAGAGAACAACGTCAAATGCACAGCACAGCAACGGCGCATGTATTTAAGTAGAATATAATTACTGAATGCCACATCTAACAAGGCACCATAGGAGAAACACCGGTTGGAAACCCCATAAAGTACAAGATCCCAGCTATAGTTATTAAGGGGGTGATCTCCGGACACACAGCAACTTTTTCTCCATTCATGCGCTGTTTTGCGGTTGAACGATGTCTCCCACACTGTCATACAAGCTCTATATTCCGCGTATAATGCATGAGGTTGCCGGTGCAACAGCGTGCATTAGAAAGCTGTGAATGTCGGACACTGTCGCCTTCTCTTCCTTATTACTGCGAGTAAACGCTGTGGATTTTTGTTTCCCTCAGATCAGATCGTTTTTAACACACTCCGGAGTCCCAAACTGAAAAATGACAACTTTAACGCAGACTTCACAATCCACAAGCATTAGGGCTGTGAGAGTCATTCGTGCCGGTGAGGCCAACCTACTTGGCAAACAGACTTGAATTCAGAAAAAGAGCCGACAGTCTCACACGGGTTTAAATATCTTTAAGAGGAACCTTTTTTTTATTTTTTATAATCTTCACTCCACTATAACCTGCACACTCCGCATCTGAGGATATCACCGAACAGCCCCAAAGACATCAACCAAAGCACGACGCCACATTTCAAACACGAATGGCAACTTTGTTTCTCCTACACCTCAACACACCTGTCGGGAAATCCGTACGCGTTTACAAGGTGGAAGACAGGGAGGAGAAAAGAGAGGAAAAAATCCTCCAAACTTTCATTTCAACACACACACAGCAACAAAAAAGAGACACTAAACTGTCTGTTCGTCCTTACCTGTCGGTATCTGGCCGGAGACGTTACCAACGGACGAGAAGAGAAACAGGAGTCCCAGGAATACAGAGAAAAGTGTATCCATGTTTCCCAAACGTGGCCGTGTTGTTGAGTCCGTAACAGTTTCCCCCCCCCCAGAACGAAAAGTTTCTTTCCTGCGAGTTTCCTCCTCCGTCTTCAGCTCTTTCTGTCTTTAAGGGTTAGTATTCCTCCTGCTGCTGTGGATTCAGCCGCCCCATTCTCTCTCCCTTTTTCCTCCGGGTTTCTTCTCTCTTTTTCGCTTCCTACGGGGCTCTCGCGGACACCACACTTTGTTTCACGCGGAGTGAGGGAGCGCGAGAGGTAGAGAGAGAGAGAGAGAGAGAGAGGGAGGGAGGGGAGCGCGAGCGCAGCAGAGAAAGTGCGTGACGTCAGGAGGCAGGAGTAGATTGGGGAGAGAAAAAAAACGCAAATTAAAAAGAAATTCTGGAATTAAACGTGGATTTGTTGTTGTGTGTCGTGACGCGTTTTGTTGCTGTTGTTGTTGTTATTGTTGTTTTACACATTGATATTAACATAAATAATGGGCTACTGAATGTTTTCGCTCATAAATGTAATCACCACCGTCACTTAACTTCTGACAGTGAATCATATTTAAATTGGAGAGACGGTGATTATGGTCAATTGCACTTAGCTTCTTCAAAATGTGCCTCCTCCTTTGATGTTTTAAAATGATTTCATATAGCTATCCCATCCAGACATGCTGTTTTTTTCCTCCACAACAAAGTACAATTTCCATATTACAATTATTAGAAAGAAATCTACTCCTTCTACCTAATTAAAAATATGAAAATCTATGAATAGGAATTTTCTTTCATTCCTTTCATTTTCCTTCTGGACACAAGATGTCTCCTACCTCAGTGTAAAGTCCATTCTCAGTGGGTGTGCACTGGTGGCTTCAGGTTTCCACATCACACTTGCATAAGAACAAACTATTTGGATGTCACAAATCATGCTCGTAGGTCCCGCCCCTTAAAATCTGATTTTCAATGAGCACAGAGAAACTTTCCTCTTTCAGCAGATGAATGTGAAAACATCCTTCTAGTGTCAAACTCTGTACATACAGCATTCAAACAGCACACTG